CTGTGTTTGAAAAGATGTTTATTTCATCCCATCCGCCTACTATGAACTCATCAAGCAATAATCACTTATCCTGTTCATTGGCTTCATGTCCCTATTGGCTTCCACCTATGTGTTCTCTGTCCATCGTGTTGTGACAGCATCATCCCTTTGTTGTCAACACCTACCAATGTTATCCCACTCATGTATGCAATTGTTGTTACTGTTAATCCTCCACCTACTATATGTATTCTGTACTATGTCCCTCATTCAGCCTTGCTTGACAAGGATATAAGGATCTATACCGAACGTCGCTTTTCACAGTATTAAAGAAGTTGATATCCATAAAATTGTGTTTAGCTTGTCATCCGTCAACTTATGTTTATTTCTGTATGCAATTACCCAACAATTATTTTGTTTTAGAAAAAAAGAGACAGTGATGATCAAAAAATCAGATTGTTGTGGCCTAAGATGTTCCAGCCCCTGTCTGTGAGTGAGTTAGTTAGTGGCAGATTGGTGTCAGTGATGGACTCCCCTGTGAAGATCCGGGGTAGAATAGGTGTAGATAGGAACCCATGCTTGTTGTAAGAGGCGACTATGCTTGTCATAAGAGGCAACTAACGGGATTGACTGGCCAGGCTCGCTGAAATAGTTGATGTCATCGTATCCCTATCGTGTAGATTGATTCTCATTATGTCAACCACTGAATTGTCTGTTCCGGACTTGGTTATTACAGGCTCCAGTATTGCTGCGTTTGGAGTTAAACAAACATTGATCATGTTGATACGTCAGCATGGTCAGTGTTCCCGCTGGTTTTAAAAAATACCAGTCCCCCCTAATTTTTGCCAGTCCCAACTTTCAACAAATAGAAAAATGTATGCAAATTATTTGTTTTTAATTCTTTCAACATAATGTTCAGTGCAAAGATGTCATCTCTGAAGGAACTTAGTTAGATCTGTACGTCATTCACACAAACTTCAGTCACAATTTTCTCTCTTTTTTTTAATTTGCATAAAATACCCCCCAAAATAATCAAAACCCAACTACTTTCCATGCATGCATTAAATGAAAAACTCAAATGTATAAAAACAGCTCTCGTATATACCCAATGAAGCTTTTTCAGCATGCGTATTAAAAGAGCTGATTTCCGAAACACAATTGTGTGCTAATTTACTTTCCGAGTCAAGCCTATATATTTAGAACAGTTATACATCTAAAACATTCTTCTTCTTTTTTAAAATCTTAAATTGTTCACTAATTTTAGGATAAACCCAATAGAGTAATGAATAGATGAGTTAAAAGATATTGGTTACCCAATGAAAATGTAATAAACCAATTAAAATAGAAACCCTAGAGTAAAAACTCAATTGCTCAAAGAGTTATCTGGAGCTCTGACTACAGGTGGCCTATGATTTATCTCCGTAAACACAGTATCAGTATACAACGTCGGTATTTGTCTTCGTACTGTTGCCTTCCCCTAGCCTAGTCGCAACAACGACCACGTGGAATTAATTAGGTTTGAGTTTTATGCAATAGAAGATATTTCTGACTACATTTTATTCCCCATGAAAAAACCAAACTTCTAAAGCTGTTAGTGGTGAATAAATCAATTGGGGAGGGGGCTTATGATATTTAATTGATGTCCCAGGTGTCAGGATGTCCCAGGTGGTAGTGTGTGATTGATCTGACAGGAAGTCCCAGGTGGTAATGTGTCTGTATTACTTGTGTGGGATATATTATACTGTTCATAGTACCGTATTCGACGTAATAAGCACTTCGTTCTAATAAGCGCCAACGGCAGTATTTGCTAATATATTGGCTATTGAACAATCCCAATAAGCACCCCTTCCGATTGATCAATGTACACCAGGCTTATTTATTTGGTATAATACGCACTCATGTGTTATATGCACCCTTAATTATGGACAATTAAATTCTGGAAAAATATATTTGTTGTATACAAACATTTCAGGCTGTCAGCATAAACCACGAAATTTATCTTTCAACTCTTTTTTTTCCACCAAAATAATATTCTAATAAGAGCCCACTATTTGTATTTTTGAGAGCGCCCTGGGCGCTTATTACGTCGAATTCGGTATGTGTAGAATACCTCCTATTTAGCAGGTTAGAGGTGAACATTTTGTATTTTGTCTGCAGTATAGATATTACCATCGTGTATGGTATACTGTGAAATAGGTACACCCAGTAGCTATTAATCTGTTGACAATTGAAGAAAACCCATGTTCACTCCAATATGTCCTAGTTCAAGGGGTAAAAATTAATTTTTGGTTTCACTGTGAAAAACATATCTGCTGCGGTTGCCATGTACCGAATGGCAGGAGTTGTAGTCCACCAGGAAACATCACTAGTTCTTCCTTAATGTTCCTGCTCATGGAGTTGCAGTCGTATGCTAATTCTGTGAAATTGTGCCTTTGTGTTATGTAAAGTTTTCTTGCAGTTGATAGCAGGACTTACCAGTACCTGGTTTATCTGTTTGTGAGGCCAGGGGACTCTCCATCTTCCTGAGGCAAGAGAGTTAACTGACTATAAGGCCCAGTGTCCGCCATTGCCGAACTAGGCTGGTATTATGGAGTTACATTTTGCTTGGACTAATGAGTCTGTGCATAGTCCAATCAAAATCGCGCACCGAAATCAAAATCCGGTTAGTAAACTGTCGTGTACATTTCAGTCGATTGCATGGTTTGCAAAGCAAGTGCACCACCGATTTGTTGTCAACAGATATTTTCCAAATCTTTTCATGTTTTTAATCAAGGTGCTCACGCGATTTGATGCACTTTGCAATGTAAGACCCGTTTTATCACAATATAGATCTTGGTTATCGACCAGATCATCTTGACTGGGTGCCGCCATTATTTTATTAAGCAAATGCATGTGATATGAGAGGTGGAATCTGATTGGTCCATAGGAGAGGCTTAGAGGGGACATAACTCGTAATAACCACTGGTGACGCTACAATCGGGCACAGGAATTCCAGCCTAGTTCAGCAAGGTTGGAAACTGGACTTTTAAAGTCAGTTAATTCCCTTGCCTCAGGAAGATTGGGACTCTTGGGACTACTTTCAGGGGCCTCAGGCATAAACAGGTCACCTAGTCTTGTCGACAACGACCACGTGGAATGAATTAGGTTTGGGTTTTATAGAAGATATTTCTGACTACATTTTATTCCCCATGAAAACAAACAAACTTCTAAAGCTGTTAGTGGTGAATAAATCAAGGGGGGGGGCGGGGGGATGTCCCAGGTGGTAGTGTGTGATTGATCTGACAGGAAGTCCCAGGTGGTAATGTGTCTGTATCACTTGTGTGGGATATAATATACTGTTCATAGTACTGTATTCCACGTAATAAGCGCCCATGGCAATATTTGCTAATATATTGGCTAGTGAACAATACCAATTAGCACTTTTCTTGGTTTGATATGAAACTGAGTGACTGCGGGAAGAAAGTCAGAAATAGACAGACTGACCTTGTATGTCTGACCAGAGTAGACAATGATTGAACTATCATTAGTTTCAATGTGCATGCTACATCTAATAATTAATACAACCATACTTTTCAGATACAATCAATCTCACCAGCCTCCCCCTTCCCTATAAGAAATGCCCAATCCTTTATGCTAATTTCGAACCTGTGTATCACAAATATAGGACCCTTATTCCTCAGAAATTGTGGATCATTTGTTATAGTTAATGACCTGGCCCTGTGGCAATCTGTGACTCTGTCCTGATGATAACCTGTAACAATTTGTGTTAATAATGATTTATCTCTGGCCATATGAACATGATGAACAATGTTAGTTGCCATTACTACTTTAAAAGAATTAACATATTTTTAAGTGCTATAATGGGACCCAGTAAATCTAATTTACCTAGCGCTTGTTGTTTTGTACACTGCTTCATGGCCTTCACTTATTGGAGACTGGTGTCCATTTGGCCCCTGTACTTATAACAGGAAATATGGTATATTCAATCCCAGAATACTTTTGGATTTGTGTATGGATCTCGTCTGTTGATGATGCTGGTGTGGTGTGTTTTGGAAGATGGCTTGTGCTAATGCTCCCTGTTGGAGTTGTGTAGTAGTGGGATGGGCCCGTGAAGATACCGGGGAGAATAGGTCTTCAGCAACCTATACTTGCCGTAAAAGGCAACTATGCTTGTCGTAAAAGGCGACTAACGGGATCGGGTGGTCAGGCTCACTGACTTGGTTGATGTGTGTCATTGATCCCAATTGCGTGGATCAATGCTCATGCTGTCAATCAGTGGATTGCCTGGTCCAGACCCGATTATTTACAGATCGCCGTCATATAGCTGGAGAATTGCTGAGTGCGGCGTTAAACAACAAACAAACAAACAAACAAACAAACAAACAAAAGTAGTGGGATGATACACTGATGCATTGGTGGATTGCGATGTTTGCTTCTCAATACAAGTTTCGATCACTATCGCACACTAAGTAAGATGTGTATCATTTCTTACCTTAAATGTATTCTTTAATAATTGTTACATCAAACATTAATTACTAGTGAAAATGAGTAGTGAAAATGTAATATTTTCATCCATTGCACCATATTTGACACTGTCAATTTCAAATTGTTAGTGTGCCAGATACTTTGCCATCCTGTCTATGAAAATGATGCACATGCAAGTATTGTGATACGTATCGGAACGTGGGCAAGGTATCGTGATACGTTTCGGATCGCACAGTTGGTGTATTGTCCCAGCCAATCGTGGAGTGTCAGGTAGATGAGTGTGGCTAGTGCTAATTTTAATGATCCCTATGGAGGTCTTTGAAATCCATTTAGTAGTGATACACACAAGGGAGAGAATATTTATGGATGTGAACTTCTCTATTATAAGGAGCACATCATTTCAGAATATATGCTTACTCCTTCATCAGATGATATGTACTCATTGTTGAAGTTGACATCCATTAGTATTCCCTCTCTCCATTGGGGAGTTAAGTGGTGGAGTGTTGCTTGTGCTGATGTTGCTGTGTGTGCTGTTACAGGCGCAGGTGAAGGCAGACATCCAGCCGAAGGACCCCCCTGGTCTGGAGGCGCCGGTCCCCCCAGACACGGGGGACAACCAGGAGGGTCAGGACGTCCTCCAGCAGCCCATCCCGGACGAGGATGACAAGAAGGCAGCGGAACAAATTGTGAGTCCATGCTGCAATAATGCTCATATATACTGATGGTGCAGGATGGTGTCTTATAGTGCCTGATCATACTGATGGTAGGGTTTTGAAATCACTGCCAAGCTTTAGCAAAGTCAGTGCCTCATTTGCCCGACTCATTATGTGAGATCTCCTGACAAACATTTAAGTGAATTTTGATAAATATTCGTAATAGGTACCAAACGTAACTTTGAAAAAGTGAAACTACGCTCATGGGTTGGACCAATCTAACTGATGTCGGTGTATTGTTACTTCGATAACTCTTCAGGACACGCTCTCTGATTGGTTGCGACACATATTGTAGGAAGTCATACGCTCTCTGATTGGTTGAAGACATATTGTAGGAAGTCATACGCTCTCTGATTGGTTGCGAGACATATTGTATGAAGTCATACGCTCTCTGATTGGTTACAAGACATATTGTAGGAAGTCATACGCTCTCTGATTGGTTGCGAGACATATTGTAGGAAGTCACACGCTCTGATTGGTTGCGAGACATATTGTAGGAAGTCATACGCTCTCTGAATGGTTGCGAGACATATTGTAGGAAGTCATACGCTCTCTGATTGGTTGCAAGACATATTGTAGGAAGTCATACGCTCTCTGATTGGTTGCGAGACATATTGTAGGAAGTCATAAGCTCTCTGATTGGTTGCGGGACATATTGTAGGAAGTCATACGCTCTCTGATTGATTGGTTGCGAGACATATTGTAGGAAGTCATACTCTCTCTGATTGGTTGCGAGACATATTGTAGGAAGTCATACGCTCTCTGACTGGTTGCGAGACATATTGTAGGAAGTCATACGCTCTCTGACTGGTTGCGAGACATATTGTAGAAAGTCATACGCTCTCTGACTGGTTGCGAGACATATTGTAGGAAGTCATACGCTCTCTGACTGGTTGCGAGACATATTGTAGAAAGTCATACGCTCTCTGATTGGTTGCGAGACATATTGTAGGAAGTCATACGCTCTCTGATTGGTTGCGAGACATATTGTAGGAAGTCATACACTCTCTGATTGGTTGCGAGACATATTGTAGGAAGTCATATGCTCTTTGATTGGTTGCGAGACATATTGTAGGAAGTCATACACTCTCTGATTGGTTGCGAGACATATTGTAGGAAGTCATACGCTCTCTGACTGGTTGCGAGACATATTGTAGAAAGTCATACGCTCTCTGACTGGTTGCGAGACATATTGTAGGAAGTCATATGCTCTCTGATTGGTTGCGACACATATTGTAGGAAGTCATACGCTCTCTGATTGTTTGCGAGACATATTGTAGGAAGTCATACGCTCTCTGATTGGTTGCGAGACATATTGTAGCAAGTCATACGCTCTCTGATTGGTTGCGAGTCATATTGTAGGAAGTCACACGCTCTCTGATTGGTTGCGAGACATATTGTAGGAAGTCATACGCTCTCTGATTGGTTGCGAGACATATTGTAGGAAGTCATACGCTCTCTGATTGGTTGCGAGACATATTGTAGGAAGTCATGGAAGGTTGCACAAAACACGTTGTCTGGTTGGTTACGGTCTAGAGAGTGATGAATTTGTTATTCATGATTGGAAAAGCCACAGAGATGCGAAAACTGATTCATCAACATCAAAGTGAAAGTTGAAAATGCAGTGGCCGAACAATCGCGTCCGAAAAGAGAGATATGACAACTGGTATTAGGAGAAAAGGTACACATAATTGATGTGAAGATTGTGAGAATATGCAGGAAATATGAAACTTAACTCACCTGTTCGTAAACTCGACTTGTCCGACATTTCCAAGGTTGAATTCTGTTCAGGGAGTCATCATTTTTAAAACTTAGGTAAATATTATAAAGCTTGTACATTTTATCAACATCCTTCAAGCTGCTGTGCATAATTTTGATATCTCATATCAGAAATAAACGACTTGTGGTTGTTGTTTATCGTACAATAAAACACTGCAGGGAGAATAAACCATGATCGGCGCAGGCAATAAGCAAATCCCTCTCATCATGCTCATTGTTTATTTCGTAAGTAAAGGATAGTTTTGCCCTGAGCTACTATGGTGCTTTGTACATGCTTTGATGTTTTAACAGTTGAGGGCAAAAGTATACTTTAGTCTTCAATAAATCCCGCAAGCAGGGTTGAGAAGTTTGCTAGAAATTTAGCAGACAAACATTTGAAGCAATTTATGCTCACTCACTCACTCTTCCTATCTGCTCTGTGAAGATACGGAGTAGAAGAGGTGTTCAGCAACCCATGCTTGCCGTAAGAGGCGACTTTGTTTGTTGTATGAGGCAACTAATGGGATGGGGTGGTCAGGCTCGCTGACCTGCTTGATGCATGTCATTGTGCAATGTGCATGTCAATCATTTGATTATCTGGTCCAGACTCAATTATTTACAGACCGCCGTCATTTAGCATGAATATTGTTGAGTGTGGCGTTAAACAACAAACAAACAAACAAACAAGTATCTAAATGTAGGTGGGATCTAGTGGTGGTCAGTAGGGGTGTGGTAAAGATGAGCTCATGTACCCCTGAGGGAAGAGTCAATTAACATAGTTAATGAAGGCTCCCTGTGGCAAACACCACCCTTAGGTTACGATAGGATCAGATTATGGGTCAGCCTGGAGAAAGCTCTTTCTTCAGGAGTGATAAGATAGTAATTATGTAATTTATGGGTTTTAGTTTCTGAGAGATACAATGTCCAATTGTGTGTTTACTGGTATGTTTGATTATCTCCTGTCCAAAAGTTCATTCAAGATAAACACAATTTAGTTAATCATATTAAGATGTAGAATTCCGCCTTGTATTTATGTTTAGCTTGATTGAGTAAATAAATGTGTATTAGATGGTTCTACATGAATCATTTGTGCACATTCTGTAACTGATTTTAAACTTTTTTTAAACATATGGATTGATATTTTCTAAGATAAAATGATTTTAGGGCGGTTACTAAACATACTAAAGCTACGATTGCATATTATTGTATACAGGTGCATTTTGTAGATATAATTCAATTTTGTAAAATTCATATAGGTTGTAGAAAAACTAAATTTCAAAAAATTGGTACAGAATTCTTGAAATTTTCAATAAAATTGACGTTCTTCAAATTTACTCTTGTTGTTTTGTTATATTTTTCATGAGTATTTGTTGGTAAACAGCTAAAAATGAATTGGGTAATAGCGATTTTTGTTGCATATTCTTCTCAAATACACAGCTTATATGGAGGTCTCGTACTGAAGCTAGATGTGTTTCAGATTCCCCCAGTAGACGAGCATGAGAATGATGCCAAGCAGCCAGCAGCCAAGACAGCACGATATGACTTATTTGAGGGTATGTTATCACCCGTCTAGTGTCAGTAGTCACTGTGCAGAGTTGTGTCCCTTAGTCTTGCCAGGATCTGCTGATCTTAGCTTTGAATCCAGATTCTCCCTGATTATGATCCTTGGTTTGTTGGGACCCAAATGTGTGGGTTTCACCAAATATCTACAGTCTACATCACAATGGGGTTTCATTAATCAGGGATCCAGCATGTCACATTAACTCATAAACATGGATATGCAGGATTAATTAACAATAAGCAAGATGTAGTGTCATGTTGGTGCATTATGCACTGCAGTAGACTAGAGTAGACTGTGCGGGTGTGTGTGTATAGGTACGATATTTGAAAAGGGTACATGGCTACATTGGGTAATTATTCACAGCGTTGATAGGGGGCACGGGTTGCCCAGCCATTTAAAGCGCCGTGATTCACTGTGTCCCTTGGGCATGCCAGAAACCTATGATTGTGGGTTCAAATCCTGGTTTGCCCCGATTATGTTTCTAGGTTTGTCAGCACCATACCCGTGCTCGTGGGTTTCACCGAAGTGGTAAACGTCTGAGACCTGCATCACTTCGGGCTTCCTCCCACATTAAGCTGACACGCCGCGATATAACTGGTATACTGTTAAAAGCGGCTTTAAACCCAACTCACTCACAGCGTTGATACATTTACGTTTTTAAAAATGTTCATGTACTTGTATGCAAGCAGTTCTAAATTAATTGGGTTATGGTGGCTTATTTTGTGTATGTTACACAAATGCAACCAATACTCAACTTCTCTGGAAGCCACTTGTCTGAAGCACAAGTGAAGGTTTATTTAGTCCAGAAAGGTCAGTTTATTACCAAGATTTAAAGCCGATCTACTGAATGCCAAGAAACAAGTTCGGCTTCTTGATTTGTAAGCTGATGGCTGAGTGAAGTAAATAAAAAGAGGTGTAAAACGTATCTCCCTCACTCACTATCTATCAGTGTAATTGGACAAGAGATTTTGACAATTTACTTGTCAGAGGTTAAGTGGACAGTTGTTGGTACAGTGCTTGATGATGACCTTCTCTTCAGCTGCCAAGCACCAGACTGAGAAGCAGAAGGCCATCGTGGCGGCGTTCCTTCACGCCTGGAACGCCTACAAGAAGCACTCCTGGGGTCATGATGAGCTGCACCCGATCAGTAAAACTCACTCGGAGTGGTTCGGTGTCGGACTCACACTGGTTGACTCCCTCGACACCATCGCCATCATGGGACTGAGACAAGGTGAGTGGTTGACTTGATTGACACCATGGGACTGACACAAGGTGAGTGGTTGACTTGATTGACACCATGGGACTGAGACAAGGTGAGTGGTTGACTCACTTGACACCATCGCCATCATGGGACTGAGACAAAGTGAGTGGTTGACTTGATTGACACCATGGGACTGACACAAGGTGAGTGGTTGACTTGATTGACACCATGGGACTGACACAAGGTGAGTGGTTGACTTGATTGACACCATGGGACTGAGAGAAGGTGTGGTTGACTCACTTGACACCATCGCCATCTTGGGACTGAGACAAGGTGAGTGGTTGACTTGATTGACACCATGGGACTGAGACAAGGTGAGTGGTTGACTCACTTGACACCATCGCCATCATGGGACTGAGACAAAGTGAGTGGTTGACTTGATTGACACCATGGGACTGACACAAAGTGAGTGGTTGACTTGATTGACACCATGGGACTGAGACAGGGTGTGGTTGACTCACTTGACACCATCGCCATCTTGGGACTGAGACAAGGTGAGTGGTTGACTCACTCGACACCATGGGTCTGAGACAAGGTGAGTGGTTGACTCACTCGACACCATGGGACTGAGACAAGGTTGACTCACTCAACACCAAGATATAAGAACTGTTCATATATTCCAATTGTTATCCGAATAACCTTTTTTCCAAAATTGCCTGCCAACAGCACTTAGATAAGTCACCGAAAAATTAGTTAATTGTATTTGAAGCTGTTGTGTTTCTCTCTGCAGAGTTTGACGAAGCAAAGGAGTGGGTGAAGACGAGTCTGAACTTCAACGTGAACCGTGACGTCAACCTGTTCGAGATCACCATCCGCATCCTCGGCAGCCTGCTCAGTGCCTACCACCTGTCAGGGGAGGACATCTTCAAGGAGAAAGCGGTGAGATCTCTACAACTACATACTCCACATTACTGATATACGGATGGAGGATATGTTGTGTATGCACTGAATGATATACGGATGGAGGATGTGCTGTGTATGCACTGAATGATATATAGAAAGATGATATATGTTGTGTATGCACTGAATGATATATAGAAAGATGATATGTTGTGTATGCACTGAATGATATATAGAAAGATGATACATGCTGTGTATGCACTGAATGATATATAGAAAGATGATATGTGTTGTGTATGCACTAAATGAAAGATAGAAAGATGATATATTCTGTGTATGCACTGAATGATATATAGAAAGATGATATGTGTTGTGTAGGCACTGAATGATATATAGAAAGATGATGTGTGTTGTGTATGCACTAAATGAAAGATAGAAAGATGATATATTCTGTGTATGCACTGAATGATATATAGAAAGATGATGTGTGTTGTGTATGCACTGAATGATATATAGAAAGATGATACATGTTGTGTAGGCACTGAATGATATATAGAAAGATGATGTGTGTTGTGTATGCACTGAATGATATATAGAAAGATGATATGTGTTGTGTATGCACTGAATGATATATAGAAAGATGATATGTGTTGTGTAGGCACTGAATGATATATAGAAAGATGATACATGTTGTGTATGCACTGAATGATATATAGAAAGATGATGTGTTGTGTATGCACTGAATGATATATAGAAAGATGATATGTGTTGTGTATGCACTGAATGATATATAGAAAGATGTTATGTGTTGTGTATGCACTGAATGATATATAGAAAGATGATATGTGTTGTGTAGGCACTGAATGATATATAGAAAGATGATACATGTTGTGTATGCACTGAATGATATATAGAAAGATTATATGTGTTGTGTAGGCACTGAATGATATATAGAAAGATGATATGTGTTGTGTATGCACTGAATGATATATAGAAAGATGATACATGTTGTGTAGGCACTGAATGATATATAGAAAGATGATGTGTGTTGTGTATGCACTGAATGATATATAGAAAGATGATGTGTGTTGTGTATGCACTGAATGATATATAGAAAGATGATACATGTTGTGTATGCACTGAATGATATATAGAAAGATGATGTGTGTTGTGTAGGCACTGAATGATATATAGAAAGATGATATGTGTTGTGTAGGCACTGAATGATATATAGAAAGATGATACATGTTGTGTATGCACTGAATGATATATAGAAAGATGATGTGTGTTGTGTAGGCACTGAATGATATATAGAAAGATGATATGTGTTGTGTATGCACTGAATGATATATAGAAAGATGATACATGTTGTGTAGGCACTGAATGATATATAGAAAGATGATGTGTGTTGTGTATGCACTGAATGATATATAGAAAGATTATATGTGTTGTGTAGGCACTGAATGATATATAGAAAGATGTTATGTGTTGTGTAGGCACTGAATGATATATAGAAAGATGATATGTGTTGTGTATGCACTGAATGATATATAGAAAGATGATGTGTGTTGTGTAGGCACTGAATGATATATAGAAAGATGATATGTGTTGTGTATGCACTGAATGATATATAGAAAGATGATACATGTTGTGTAGGCACTGAATGATATATAGAAAGATATGTGTTGTGTATGCACTGAATGATATATAGAAAGATGATATGTGTTGTGTATGCACTGAATGATATATAGAAAGATGATACATGTTGTGTATGTACTGAATGATATATAGAAAGATGATACATGTTGTGTAGGCACTGAATGATATATAGAAAGATTATATGTGTTGTGTAGGCACTGAATGATATATAGAAAGATGATATGTGTTGTGTATGCACTGAATGATATATAGAAAGATGATACATGTTGTGTAGGCACTGAATGATATATAGAAAGATGATGTGTGTTGTGTATGCACTGAATGATATATAGAAAGATGATACATGTTGTGTATGCACTGAATGATATATAGAAAGATTATATGTGTTGTGTATGCACTGAATGATATATAGAAAGATGATACATGTTGTGTATGCACTGAATGATATATAGAAAGATGATGTGTGTTGTGTAGGCACTGAATGATATATAGAAAGATGATGTGTGTTGTGTAGGCACTGAATGATATATAGAAAGATGAAACATGTTGTGTAGGCACTGAATGATATATAGAAAGATGATGTGTGTTGTGTATGCACTGAATGATATATAGAAAGATGATATGTGTTGTATATGCACTGAATGATATATAGAAAGATGATACATGTTGTGTAGGCACTGAATGATATATAGAAAGATGATACATGTTGTGTAGGCACTGAATGATATATAGAAAGATGATATGTGTTGTGTATGCACTGAATGATATATAGAAAGATGATACATGTTGTGTATGCACTGAATGATATATAGAAAGATGATATGTGTTGTGTATGCACTGAATGATATATAGAAAGATGATACATGTTGTGTATGCACTGAATGATATATAGAAAGATGATACATGTTGTGTATGCACTGAATGATATATAGAAAGATGATACATGTTGTGTAGGCACTGAATGATATATAGAAAGATGATATGTGTTGTGTAGGCACTGAATGATATATAGAAAGATGATGTGTGTTGTGTAGGCACTGAATGATATATAGAAAGATGATATGTGTTGTGTAGGCACTGAATGATATATAGAAAGATGTTATGTGTTGTGTAGGCACTGAATGATATATAGAAAGATGATACATGTTGTGTATGCACTGAATAATATATAGAAAGATGATATGTGTTGTGTAGGCACTGAATGATATATAGAAAGATGATATGTGTTGTGTAGGCACTGAATGATATATAGAAAGATGATACATGTTGTGTAGGCACTGAATGATATATAGAAAGATGATATGTGTTGTGTATGCACTGAATGATATATAGAAAGATGATATGTGTTGTGTATGCACTGAATGATATATAGAAAGATGATACATGTTGTGTAGGCACTGAATGATATATAGAAAGATGATACATGTTGTGTAGGCACTGAATGATATATAGAAAGATTATATGTGTTGTGTAGGCACTGAATGATATATAGAAAGATGATATGTGTTGTGTATGCACTGAATGATATATAGAAAGATGATACATGTTGTGTAGGTACTGAATGATATATAGAAAGATGATGTGTGTTGTGTAGGCACTGAATGATATATAGAAAGATGATAGATGTTGTGTATGCACTGAATGATATATAGAAAGATGATACATGTTGTGTATGCACTGAATGATATATAGAAAGATGATACATGTTGTGTATGCACTGAATGATATATAGAAAGATGATACATGTTGTGTATGCACTGAATGATATATAGAAAGATGATATGTGTTGTGTAGGCACTGAATGATATATAGAAAGATGATATGTGTTGTGTATGCACTGAATGATATATAGAAAGATGATACATGTTGTGTATGCACTGAATGATATATAGAAAGATGATACATGTTGTGTATGCACTGAATGATATATAGAAAGATGATGTGTGTTGTGTATGCACTGAATGATATATAGAAAGATGATACATGTTGTGTATGCACTGAATGATATATAGAAAGATGATACATGTTGTGTATGCACTGAATGATATATAGAAAGATGATGTGTGTTGTGTAGGCACTGAATGATATATAGAAAGATGATATGTGTTGTGTATGCACTGAATGATATATAGAAAGATGATACATGTTGTGTATGCACTGAATGATATATAGAAAGATGATACATGTTGTGTATGCACTGAATGATATATAGAAAGATGATATATTCTGTGTATGCACTGAATGATATATAGAAAGATGATATGTGTTGTGTATGCACTGAATGATATATAGAAAGATGATACATGTTGTGTAGGCACTGAATGATATATAGAAAGATGATGTGTGTTGTGCATGCACTGAATGATATATAGAAAGATGATACATGTTGTGTATGCACTGAATGATATATAGAAAGATGATGTGTGTTGTGTAAGCACTGAATGATATATAGAAAGATGATACATGTTGTGTATGCACTGAATGATATATAGAAAGATGATGTGTGTTGTGTATGCACTGAATGATATATAGAAAGATGATACATGTTGTGTATGCACTGAATGATATATAGAAAGATGATGTGTGTTGTGTAGGCACTGAATGATATATAGAAAGATGATACATGTTGTGTATGCACTGAATGATATATAGAAAGATGATACATGTTGTGTATGCACTGAATGATATATAGAAAGATGATGTGTGTTGTGTAGGCACTGAATGATATATAGAAAGATGATACATGTTGTGTATGCACTGAATGATATATAGAAAGATGATACATGTTGTGTAGGCACTGAATGATATATAGAAAGATGATACATGTTGTGTATGCACTGAATGATATATAGAAAGATGATGTGTGTTGTGTATGCACTGAATGATATATAGAAAGATGATATGTGTTGTATATGCACTGAATGATATATAGAAAGATGATACATGTTGTGTAGGCACTGAATGATATATAGAAAGATGATACATGTTGTGTAGGCACTGAATGATATATAGAAAGATGATACATGTTGTGTATGCACTGAATGATATATAGAAAGATGATACATGTTGTGTATGCACTGAATGATATATAGAAAGATGATATGTGTTGTGTAGGCACTGAATGATATATAGAAAGATGATATGTGTTGTGTATGCACTGAATGATATATAGAAAGATGATACATGTTGTGTATGCACTGAATGATATATAGAAAGATGATACATGTTGTGTATGCACTGAATGATATATAGAAAGATGATGTGTGTTGTGTATGCACTGAATGATATATAGAAAGATGATACATGTTGTGTATGCACTGAATGATATATAGAAAGATGATACATGTTGTGTATGCACTGAATGATATATAGAAAGATGA